TTCCCAGCCGCCGAACCCAAAGAATATCTTCAGTCATCTCAATAGTAGTAACAAGGGCATCGCTACTAGTAACAAGGGCAGGTACTTGAGTCATCTTGAGTCCACCATTTTGCCGGACGAAGACATCCTCCACTCACTCCCGTTGGATCGTCGCCTTGGAGAGGCGCTTCTCAGGCCATGTTCTCCTTGGCCTCGTCCGCGGCTCGAGAGGCTGAAGCCAAAGGAGAACATCATGAGCTGCAAGGAGAACAAGGACGCTACTAGGAGCAAAGGGCATCGCTACTAGGAGCAATGCTGGCTACTAGGGGCTCCTGGCCTTACTACTAGGAGCAAGGACGCTATTTGTAGCTCCTGGCATTGCTACTACGAGTAGTAACAAGAAGCTACTAGTAACAAAGGGCATCGCTACTAATAACAAGAACACTTTTAGGTTGGAGGCCATCGCTACTGGATACTGTTGGAGACTGAAGGACACAACGTTCAGGACTCATAAGCTGAACACCTCTAGCAATGAGTCGCAACAATATGTGCAATTAGGATCTCTGCTGAGGTCGATCGAAAATGCACATCTGATCTGATCCTGAGCTACTAGCCATTTCTCATCGAAGGGTATTTGGTACCTGCACTGTGTTCAGGCTAGGGCATCCCTCGTTTGATGGCAAATTGAATCCTTTGGACAATCTTAGTTGCCAACGTGCATCAAGTCCCAAACCCCTGCATGTGTGGATTTCACTCTTGAGTGTCGGGGGGCTATAGAGTCTGCTCTACTCCCAAGCAGGTCACCAGGTCTGAAAGCTTCGATACTTCTCCACCTGGGCGGTGACAGAGCGTCACTAAGTGGAGGAAGCTATCCCGTCCTGCAACAAAAAAAGAGTACATTCATACAAAAACCTTGGGGGCTGTCAATCCCTCTACATTAGCACTCCAGCAATCAGGATGCCTTGTGTTCGTCGCTAGACCTTCGAAGCTCATACACTGGGGCTCCGGACAGCCATCCGCGGCAGCTGCTCCTCGATCCTTGGCTTCTTTGACACCTGGCCAGGAGCCCCCCAGTAGCGTCATTGCTCCTAGTAGCGATGCCCTTTGCTCCTAGTAGCGTCCTTGCTCCTA